TATTGTACTGCTGTGGTGGTGGAGGAAGAATTCTAGGACTACCCCGTATGTGATTAGCAAAAGTAGATTGTCCCTGCAGAGTCCTCAGGCTGAAGGCAATGCTTTAAAGCATAGCATGAGAGGAAGCTGCTTAATTTTGATTTGTGTCTCTTTGAACTGCAGTCTGACAAGCTGAGTTTGGTACGTGTTTGTAGTCTTGTGTATTGTCTTTCGAGGTTAAATGTAATGTTCTGGTTGCAGTATGGATTAAAAAAAAGTTTCAGTTTGTGTGCAGAAGGGTAAAATAGAGTATTTTTTAAGACTACTTTCATTTGCTTTAGTTTTTAATACCCTTTGTTAATTTAAAGTTATTAACATGTTGACTTCATTTGCCTTTATTGCCCCTATGCAAATTGCTGTGTTGATTGAGTTAATTTAAACAACCTGGTTGGGACCTTCAGGCATTACTACACTAGAAACGTTAATAATGAATCAAATAACCACAGGTGCCTCTTTCCCCAGCAACAGACACTCTCCTTAAAAACTCATTTGCTTTTCATGCTTGCTTAATTATTTAGGCAAGCAGCCATGGATGTTTCACAGTGTGAATTCTCATCGTGTTCCAACTGCCCAGTCTTTGTCTTTCTAAAAGAAAGAATACCTTAACCATCATCACCATTTGTAACATGTTCCCAGAATGCCACACCATGGTCTTGAAAGGCCTTTTTGGAAATTGGTCATAGTGTAGTGAAAAGAGTCTTGATTTATAAATTTATGGAACTTAGGGTGAAGTAAAAACTTTCCTTCAATGATGACAGCTTTATTTTCTGCTACTGTCCACAAAATAAAGTGACCTAATAACTGTATGAATAGGAGATTCCCTGTTTCCCAAAGAGAGTTTAAAATTGTGGAAGGTATTAGCCTGATGAACAGCTGAAATCTGTGTTGGTGGAAACAAGCAATTTGTTGTTGCTTCTAAAAGTTTAAGTATATTGGAATTTGTGAACACATCAGGCATGATGTGAAAGCAAGAAGAAATTATGGAAGGGTAAAAGTCCCTATGGAATTGTCCCTTTGAAATCACCGTCTGATGACTGACAGATGTGAAATGAAAAGACACTGTCTCAAGAAAATACTGTGAAGGGCAAAGAAGAATCTTCGTGTAAAGATGTAACTGAATAATTGGACGCTATTCCTTCTCCAAATGCGTGTTTTAACTAATATACAGTCTTCTATAATAAGATCAGAAACTAACTATTGGTAAAAGACAGCATCTTTGAGAATCTTAAGTTCTCCTGTAAAAACTTCAGAGTAAAACCAATTGGTTGTTTTCTTTTTTGCAGTGCCTTGGTGAGCAAAGTTTTCTCAGAAAGATGTCTTCCTGCTGAAGCATCTCAGTTTTTGTTGGATTAGAATTTTTTATTTTGTTCTGGGTTTTGTTTTTCTTAAAAAAATCAGCAGTGTCAGGTCCATATGTTTATAAACTTTGTTAAATGTGAACAGAATGTAAAATAATGCAGTAAAAACTATCAGGGTATGCAGATACTTTAACATATCCCCTCTGGCAGAGGTTGCCGCCACTCTTGTACTAGGTGTTGATGCTTGAACCTAGTGATTGCATCAAGTTTAGGAAATTTTAATATCTGATTAAAATATTGCAGTCAAAAAGTGCAAATCTTATGAATGCCTATAAAAAGAATTGTAACACTTTGATGGTTTTGACTGGGCAGAGTTGGGAGAGACACTGTTTTTCAGTATGATTCTTTAAAATTAAGAGGGCAAACAGGCCGAAGTCGATGTGGTAAGCTTTAAAGTTGCACCAATTCAAACCTAAGCCAGACACATCTTTTTAGAAGGGCATTTTTGTTTATTCATCATTCTAAGGACTTATATAAAATTAAGGCTTATGAATGCAAAATGTCGTACGGTTCTAAATTTGGAGTGTTAAGCTTTTGATGGATTGTAGTATATGAATTTTTATAAGAAGTTCTTAATGAAGAAAGAACCAGAAATTAAAGTAGGCCTCTAAATTAATTCTCTCAACTTTCTAAGCTTAATGAAGTGCAAAAAACCCATACAAATGATGAGAGTAAAGAAAGACCCTGTCTATGAGCCTATTACATATCATATCTCATCTGTCACAGGATGTGTGTGTGCAGGAGTAATAGTTGAAATTGGTGACAGTAGCATAAAATTTTAGTGAAAGGGCCTTCTTCCACTAAACCCAGAAGATCTTAAATATAATGTTTCAGCAGTTCAGTGGCATTATAGATTTCTGGATGAGCTTTATGCTGTCTTTAATTTTCTGTTTATGTGAAATGCTCCAGAACCTTTGACTATCTGGTAACTTTTTAAGATGAGAAGTGTATTGTTCAAGAGGGCCTTAAGTTTCTTTTCCTACTGATTTACCAGGAAAACTGGAAGCAATTAAATATTCCTGATTCTTTTTGTGACTTTACCTTGGCATCAGAAACATGTGTTTCATGAGGAAAACAATAGAGAGTATATAATCCACTGCATATTATGCTTTCTTTCTAAATTGGTAGTAACCAGAAACTGCAAAGAAATTCACTTATGATTAAAAGAAAGAAATTCCCTGATGTACCATTTCTATTTGAATTTATTACTTTGTGTAAATGCACTGCCTTACACCTTGAAGTTGGTCATAAAACACTGATGATGTGGGTGAAGTGGAAAAGCAGGTTAAATTTAAGTACATTACTTCTCAAATAGACCATGGATCTGGAGACTTTTAGTTAGGCCAAGGAGAGGGAGAGAAACTGTGATTGAGCCATTTTATTATGCATTTGACTTTGCTTTACATTTAATTCGGCACCCACTTTGATCGTTAGAACTTAATTTTAAAGCCCTGCTACTTTATGCCTCTTCATATTTATTTGTTCTTTGATGATCACATTTATGGAAAGTTTGCTTGGAAGGAGTTTCTTAGAGAGTGGGATGGTTTGATGGGGACACACATCAAATATTTAGAAGTCGTGACAAAAAAGCCATAGAGAGAAATACTTGTCTGAATTTAAGGGTGTTTTTTTTCCTAGACTAAAATGAAAGAACTAGATGAGTTTGAAGCCTGTGATGGAAACATCATACGTAGTTGTCTCCACTGAAGTAACTTTATTGATTTGTGCAGTGAAATCATCCTTGCAGAACAAGATCTAAGTGATGAGGTTTAAGATTTACAGTTACTGGGTTGGCAAACTTAGAAGGCTGAAGCTGCAGCCAAGCCGCCACTCTTTACGTTAATAATTTTTAGACGAAAGGGCAAAACAAGCCATTCCAAGCTTGCAATGAATCTAGAGCATCTACAGCCAACTGAAACACTGTGGATGCTTTCCTATAGTAATGTCTGTTCTGTCTCTGTGGCTTATGGAAAGTCACATACTCTCAAACTCCTATGTGAATTGCCAGGTTCAGTAGGTGCTTATTTTTCTGTATAAAAATTCAGTGACGTATTTCCAAAGAAATATTATTCTTATGCAAAGGGTATATTTTGTTCTCTCTTTCTCATAGAATACTATTTCTGTGTTGCCTGGTATTTCAGGAAAAAAGAAGACAGTAAAATTGGAGAATATACTTTTGTATCTTCTAGGCCAATTCAATCATTGGTCAGACACAGCATGAAAGATAGATACACAACACCTTCCACTAAATATGAAATGAATTACCATTGCATTGTGTACACTTGAATTCACAGTCACTTTCAGGATACATGATTATTCTGAGGATTTCTTTCAAGTTCTCATTTTAAATTTTTTTTTAAATTTGAGGAAAAATTTGCATTAAGAACATGTCAGATTTTGATGTGCTAGGTGAAAATATGGCAGTATTTTTTGTATTGTTTATATATATATATATATGCATTTTTTGCTGTCTTAGTAGAAGCATCTATAAACTTGGAAGGAAAGTTTGGTTTTAAACTGTTGTTGGTAAAGCTCTTGTGAAACTGAAAGAGAATATACACAGTAATAGGATATTTTTATTTACATAGGCTTCTACCATAATCAGCAACTCAGCTATGTTACTGACTGCTTAGTAAACACCTTCACTATCCTGGCATAGGAAAGAGAGGGATGATTGTGTCACATAAAAGCAATAGAGTATATAGTAGCCTTAAAATATAAAAATATACGCATTTGGAGTGTAGAATGGAATGTTTTTATGCTAACCTTGACCTTTACATATGCCTTGGGGGGAGCAAGGTGATCACGGAGCTTCATGGGAACATTTTGGGCTGATTAGAAACGGAAGTATATCCTGCCTTTCCTGAAAACCACAAAACTAGTGAAAGACAACTTCCTCAGACTTTTAAAATACAAGTATAGTTACCTATGTTATTAATTGCACATCAGAGTATAAAGAGCAACTCCTCCCCTCTATTTATGTCCTCCTGAGTGCCACAGTGAAGGAGGGATTCAGGGCTCTGTCCCTGGCTCCTCAGCAGGTTTGCTGTGGCTTAGGGTTTTTCTGAATTTATCTTTTTTTAATGTAGGGTAATGTGGGGCAATGTCCAGAGAGTAAGAAATGACAAATAACCCCTGGGGCATTTAGCACCACTCCTTGCTTTGCTGGAAAAGTTTGGTGTGTGCTTGTGCAATACTTAATTATCCCATTTCACATGACCATGCAGAGCTGAAATTTGTACTAACTTGTGAGTATTTGCTCAGGTTTTGTTATGGTATAAGCCAAATGACACTTTATATATACTGATGTTATATTAAAGTCTGCTCAATGTCACAATGTTTGCTGACAACTGAAAAATTGTCCAAGTACTAAAGAGCAACAGAACTCACTGAAGAGCATGAAGAACAGCTTCTTTTCATTTTTTCAATATAAACTTCTGCTTTGATTTACAATGCTAATTTGTGCAGCTTTTGACAAGTACCAAGTGTTATTTTATATCTATGAATATCACTTGTATTACTTCAGTTGAACTCTTAAAAGCAGGTTGTTTAAGAATGTGGTTTAATATTTAAATAATGGGGTTTTTTTTGTCTTTTAAATAGGTGAATGTCTATGTGCTGGGAAAAACTTTCCTTCTGTTGGCCAGAGAACTCTGCATAAATGCTCCAGCTATAGGTATTTTTTTGAGTTGACTTTTTGAGTATTTGGGTGTGGGTTTTGCATGGTTACGTGACAAGAATGCGTATGTGCGTGTATAGATAAACACAGTACTGTGTGCCAAGTGCAAAAGTGGTACCTTTAAAAGTGAAGCTGGAATCAATCGAGGCAGAAGAGCCTTTGCTGACTATGGGAGCCTGTTCTCCTTTATGTAAGAGTTTTGGGAGCTAGATGCTGTTTTCTTTTAAAAACTATTTTGTTGCTTTTTCCAAGCTATTCTGAGATGGGTCTCATGTGTAACAAATTTGGGTATGTTTGCAAGCTCACACAGGTCTGTGACACTTTGGTTCTACAGAGATGCAGTGTTTGAATGTTTGCCGAATTCACTATTTGTCCATCACCTGTAGCTGCGTTGTTCAGAGCTTGAAATACATTTGGGTTGATGGAAAAGAAGCAACTTTTTCCAAGCATGTGAATAACCTTAATTAGTAAGTCATCACTGAAATTGTAACAGTGATAGGAAGGTGGGTTCTAACCTTCAAACGGGCAAAAAAGCTGTTGTCTAGGCTATAGCTTTTAAGCCAAGGGAGTTCATGCCAATTCCAGTTAAAAGACTGTTTATAGAGAGGTCTTGTGACTGCTACCACCTCTGTACAGGAATTTTATTTCTGTATCTTTACCCACTCTCACTCCCACACTCCTTAATCTATACTGAGAGCATCAGATGCCTTTGTATACAATACACATACTCCCCCCTTCAGATGTACTCAGCTAGGCACCTAACTGCCTGCCTTTGCAGCAGGAGAACCCGCAGCTCACATATTGAGCACTGTCATAACAGCATCCAGATAGAATGTGGCAGTGCACAGCTGTCAGCTGTAGTGGTGTGCAGACTTCATTTGCATAGCTTGATATTTGGTAAAAAGTTGTTATTTTCAATAATTCATTTGCCTTATTTCTTATTACTTTTTTTTAAGACAGAATGGGCAGGATTTGTGTTGTGGCTTAGTTTCAAGGTCTAAATTAATGCAGCTTAGGAAAAGGCAAACAGAAAACCCTTCTCAATTAAATGTAGAGGTACTTGTTACACATGGAAAAATGCTGGTTTAGACTGCTGCTTTAATATTCTTTCCAAGGTCATCATGATGCAAGAAATTTGTAAAAAAAACTGGCTCATCAGTAACGATTGTCAGATACTTGAAAAAACCCACCTACTTTTATCACTCTTTAAGAAAAGTTAAGGGTATTAGCTGTATAATGACTAATAGTGGATAAGACTGCTTTTAGAAAAAAAAAAATAGGGGAGGGAGGCAAAGATCCAGCAGCTTTTCTTATTAGTAATTTTGAGTGAACTTAAAGGCTGTATTTCAAGTGTTTCTCTAATGTCTGCTCCTAAAAGTGAGGATGGGATGTGTATTTAGATAAGGGGTGCTAGTATTGCAGCTTTGGGCTAAATCAGTGATGATGCCTGTAACCAAGTTAAGCCTTGTCTTGACTCTGGCCATTCAAGTGGGATGCAGTTGGACAGGTGCAAGTGTCAGTGTTACTGTTTGCTGGACAGGCTGGAGGTTAATACAGATGGTGCATGTGAATGGGCATCAGGGATGTTAAATATAACCACAGGATGATTTTGATTGACTTTGATTATATTCAGGGTTTGTCTAGCTTCCGCTTAGGCAACACAAAGGAACCCCTGAGCTTCAACAGATGTCAGGTCCCTTTTTTGTGAAGGAAATTAAAGGCTACTGATGGATAGTCCCAGTTACCAGGCAAGGAAACCCTTGTATCTGCAGTGATAGCTAATGCCCTGTATAGCTGCACAGAGGGGATACACTACAGTCTCATCACCCGTTAGCTGTACTGTAGAGGAATTAACAGACACAAGCCGTAAGATGAGCAGTGATCAAGTACACAGGATTTAGGGCAAGTAAAAATGTTTTATATTTCACAGATTCATAAACTGCTCTAGTTTAGAACATTCTGTTTAAGTCAGCTGCAGTCTGCACGTTAGTTATCTATATGCAAAATAAATGCACAGTACGTGCAAAATTTAACATTTCTCTGCTTGTTGCAGTCTTAATAATTAAGTCAAATAGCTTATGAATAAATAAAATAAGATTAAATTCAAGAGCATTCCTTCACTTATTTGTATAGGCTGATGTAGCAGATAGGTAAGTAGCATAACATTCCATACTGCTGCAGTTTGTAGTAAAACAGAGAAATCCCTTAATGTGCATCATCGCAGTACTGGAATACAATCAAGGTGAAATGCATCATGCATAGAAAATGAGCTCAGGTATTTGGCCTCCTTGTACTCCGGTACCATTAGTACTGTCCGAGGAGCACTGGAACTGGAACGTCACTTTCCCGCACTGCACTTCAGTCATTCCTTCTTGCCCAAAGTAACTGAGTTCATTACCATCCAGAATAGCACTTACGTTATAAAAGGTATCTTGCTCAACCTGCACAGGGTGTTCAAACCACACAGAGAAAGTGTTACTGGAGCCATCAGAGGTAAACTTTGTCAGATTTTGAGCAAGGACAACACCTAAGCGCTTCAGTTCAATTTTGACACTGTATTCAGCTTTGCCACAGCTCGATCCATACAATCCCAGTCCTGCTATAAATATCCGTTTGTCTACAGCAAACTGAATGCTGTCACATCGCCCTCGGTACCTCCACTGATTGCTGCGGTATGCAGAAGACTGAAACCGATGGCATCGCTGAGGTACCAGTCCTTTTCTTTTTGTCAGCGGAAACTCTAGTTTGGGTTTATTTGCAGCTGTGTACCAAAGGAATATGTTGTGAGTTTCCTCAAGGGTGAGGATATCAGACTGGGCAGCTCCATTAGCAAACTCTTCCAAAGTCATGGTTGGAATCCGCACCAGGTACAAAGCTTTTCCTAATACATTCCTCTTGTTGCGTGGTGTAACTGGCAGCCCTTGCCTTTTGCATTCAGCCTCTGCCCAGTTGAGAACAGCCTCGAAAACTACTACTTCCTTGGTGTTGAGTGCCTCCCGGGTTACAATGATCTCTAGTGTTTGTTGATCTATTTCACAGAAGCCCTCTGACTTCAGTGCCATTTCTGCTTGAGCATCAATCACTTCCCAGCAGCGCTGGGTCAGCTCTGGCTCCTCAAAAAGCCTGCTCTGAGACAGCAGGACACAAGCGTTCTTTGCTTCTAAACTGGTCTCCAGAAAATTGACGCAAGCCTTTGCTAGGGCTGGCACAATGTACTTCTTGGCAGCATACAACGTAGCCAGAACTGTGTCAGCTTCCAGGTCTATTTCATCACTATACATATATCTAGATGAGAGAAAAAAAATAGTTTATTAGGGAAAAAATAAATATTTATATCGGCCATTAAAGATTGATCTCTTGTCATCTTTGTTGGCAGTGAATCTTATATATAGTATTTGTCAGCACATTAAGTAAACAGTAATAAGTGCATATTGCACAATGCCAATTAGGAGATGCATATTTTATAAGCTACTTTGATTCTGTCCATGTAATTAGTAGACTTGTAGTGGCCACTTACTTTAATAGGATTAGAAAGGCTGCAGGTTCCACATCTGGTATATGGATTTCGGATTTGACCTCTGCAAGATCACCATAAAACATAGCGTAGAAGACAGAGCTACCAACTGCCAAAACGTACTGGAAAAGAGAGAGAAGCTTCAGTAGTATGTATCGGCAATAGCTGAGCATGCTGGCTGGCAGTTAACAGCTACATTGAGGGAAAGTTGAAAGCTGCAGTGGAGGCAGAAGACTGCCTTAGACTGTGCCTTTTAATTGCAGTGAATTACTTCTGGTATTAGACAAGAACTGCAATTAGGGGGGGGGGAAAGAGTGGAACCTACTTGTAAGACGGGAGAGAAGGCGATATGCACAGTAGTCTTAAAAAGCCAGAAATTATGTGCACAAACCTTATGGGCAGGAACTTTCTTGGATGCCCCTGGTGGGCCCACGATGAAGTGAACGTCAGCCATGAGTTCGTTATTGAACATAAGCGCGTTCCTGCAAGCGAGGGGAAGGGGGAGAAGCCCCGTTAGCGGAGGGCAGCCCCTCACCTGGTTGCCCCGGCCCCGCTGGCGCGCAGCCGGCCAGCCTCCCGCAGGCCCATCCCAGCCCTCGCTCCTGGCCTCGGCGCAGGTGCACGGGGCCGGGCCGCGCTGCCGCCCGGCCGGCGAGCTCCGGCGGGCCTGGCCCTTACCTCTCCCGCAGTGTGGGGTGGAAGGACTGCCAGTTGGCGCTCTCCAAGTTGTTGTTGTTGAGGTTTTGGAGCTGGGGCGGTGGGGGCGGCTGGGCGCTCTGCTGGAGCTGCAGGGCGTTCTTCTTGCTGTTGGCAGCGGTGGCGGCGGCGTTACTGTTTGCGATATTGGTGTTGGTGCTGGCAGGGTAAAGTTCTGCAGCCATCTTCTTCTTGAGGGACAGGGGCACTATCTCATAGCATCCTGGCACCTTGCCGTTTGACCTCACACTCTTTTTGGACTTCTTTAAGGTCTCTGGAAGCAGAAGAAAAAAAGTCAAACACTTCATGATCCTGCCATTGAGGCAACCATGGGACAGTGGCATGAGCAAGAGAACTACCAATCCCAAATGCGAGTCCCACTATCTGGATATGTTGTATGCTTCTAGATGCGCGGTGGCTTTTGGTGGTTTTGGTGTTTTGTATGCGCGCTCTGCGGTTACAAGCCCGACGCGCTTTTCCGGGGGGTGAAAGGGATGCCGCTGGGTCGGATCGATGCCAGCGCTCACCTTGGCTTCCAGAGGAGTCCCAATCTCCGCGGCTCCGCTACGCTGGCAGTGGGGGGGCTGGCAGGCACTTCCTTCCACCGAGGAAAGCGGAGATTAAAAACAACAACAGAAAATCCCAAATCCAGCAGCAGCCCAGCTCCACAGATCCAGCCGAGAGCGAGCCGAGGCGGCGGGTCAGCAGCGAGAGTCAATCCACAAATCCTCTTAGTGCAGCAGCCCGGCGAGGGTGAAGCGCAAACAGCCGCCCGATCCCCGCTGCCAGCGACCGCGCTCCGCTCCGTCCTTCCCCGCCCGGCGGGGGCACATCCGCGGCGGCCGGACCGGGCCGAGGCGGCGGCTCTCTGCAGTCCCGCTGCGGGGCGGCCCCAGCGCCGCTTGCACCAACTTTCCTTCTCCTGTTCTGCCGGCGGCAGCCGCCGCCACACGGCGCTGCTCCTCCGCGCTGCTCCCGCCCTCGTCGGGGGCGCTGCTACCCGCGGGGCGCCCCGGCTGCTCTGCGGCGGGCGGCGCTGCCCTCGGCGCTCCCGTCACAGAGGTAGCGGCGGGATGCGGCGGGGCTTGGCTCGCTCTGTCGAGCCCTGCCTCCGCCTCCCGCCCTAATAGGCAGCCTCCGCGCTGCGCGTCACGGTGGTCGGGGCCAATGGGGAGCGCAGGGGCGCGGCGGGGGATCCGCCCCCCCGCCCGGTCTTGTGTCAGTCTGCTGCGCTCTTTCCTGCCCCCTTCACTGTACGTGCACTGAGCCGAGCAGAGGCTCGCCCGCTCCCCCTCCCGCGCTGGTCCCGGTGGAAGCTCCGCCGCCGGGTGCCCCCTGATCCAGGCCCCGTTACCGCGGCGGGAGCGAGCACTGGGCAGGGGCACCGGGGACCGGCCCAGGGGCTCCCGGAGCGGAGCGGGGCTCGCAGAGCCGGGCGCGGGCAGCCCTTCCTGGCCGGTCCGGGCGGGGGCGCCGCCGCGCCGCTCTCAGACCGGCACCGTTCCGCTTCGCCGTGCTGCCCCCGCCGGGGCTGGAGGGAGCGGGTTCAGGGGGCACGGCCGAGGAGGGCGGTTGGAGTCGGGGAAGTTGCAGCGGGTTTTTCCTCCCCTTCTCTCTTAGCCAAGGAGCCGCTGTCCCGCGGTTGTGCGGGGCCTCCCGAGCTGGGTTCTTGCTCGCCTTCCTGGGGTCTTCAGTGGGGACCGATACTGTGGGTTGACCTGCGTCTGGACACGGCTCCGGCCGTGCTGTCCCGGCTGCCTGTCTGGGGGAGGAAGTAATTCTTTTAAATAGTTTCCGTGGGTTTTTCTGTGTTCCTTTTAACGGTTGTGTTATATCTAGGTTCTTCCAAAAGCCTGTTCCTAGTCATGAGTGGGATAGGGAGAGATAGGAAAGTCTTCAGAAAAGTAGATGCTCCTGTCTTAAAAAATTTTTCTTCCTGTCTGCTTCATGGCCCCCATAGCCCCCGTTCAGGAAAGCCAGACGGTTCCACCCCAATTGGAAAACTTGCTGGCTCCTGCACAAGGGTTTCAGTCCCAGGGGTCTCCTGGGAGCATTCCCACTGGACAAGAGGAACGTTTTTCACAGTGAGAACAATCAGCCATTGGAATAATCTCCCCAGGGAAGTGGTGGATTCCCCAGTGTTGGACACTTTGAAGATTCAGCTGGGCAGGGTGTTGGGATGTGTATTTTAGGTCACGTTTTGCCTAGAGAGGTTGATCCCTGAAGTACCTTCTGACCTGGTATTCTGTGATTCAAAGGAGACTCCCCTGCCCCTGGGAGCATTGTGCTGCTTTAGTACCTGTGGGAGGAATCAAGGTGTTAGAGCTTTACAACTTCTAAATAACTGGGGGGTTTATGTTTATATCCTTATGGGACATGCGTATGTTAATCTTGGCCCTGAATTTAGTATATATATTGGTAATATTAGTTTTTAGTTATCTGTGGCCTCTTTAAGGCTTTTCACTTAAAACCCACCCACATATTCATTATCTGACTTTGGTAGCTTCAGAATTTAAATCAACGATGTGCAGTGTTTTGTCAGATGACCTGTGGGCATGAATGCCAGTAGAAACATCTGAGCAGCTACAAAGCGAATGTGTAAATGCTCCCGAAACTCAGCTCGGAAGAGAAAGCTGTGAATTGCCTTGTGCTGGATAAGCTGAAGTTGGGTCTCTTGGGATAAAAGGAAACAGAAAAGCAAAGTAAGGGCCACTCTGTAGCATCACATGTGTTTCTGTGGTGCGAAGAGCAAAGTTTAAATGTTTGTTGAATCCCAGGCTATAATTCTGAAATGTTTTTGTTGTTGTATTTTGGAATTGGTCGTTTCTGTTGAGTACAGTTTTATGAAATTGTTCTTGGAAATACAGAGCAGCTGCCCTTAATGTCATGGGGATCAGTTAATCTTGCATAAACCTGTGATTTTTAGGGTCACGTTTAGGAGCTGACTGCACTCTGGCATTTCTTCAGTTTTGAATGAGAGGTGTTTGGAAGTTTTTGCGTGATAAGGGCTTTCATTTAAATGTTTCTGAGGGGCTGACAGCCATAATCACCTACTGTGTGATCGTGGTAATTATGGATAGCAACAGGGCATCATTGTTATAACTTGGTGCTGAATGAAACTGCTTTGATTAATTGTAAATTGTAAGATTGTTCCAGTGCTTCGAGCTGAATTTTCATCTTTATCAGTTTAAGTGCCCACATTGGGAATCAGCAAAGGAAATTGAGTTGAGGCTAATAGTTAACCATTTACCATACATCATGGATTCTTGGTCAAGTGATAAAAGGCTGTCAGGAAATGAGAAATTGATACCTTAAATAAGAGTAAACGTGTTAAGTGTAGCTTTTACAAGATTGTTTGATAAATTCTAAATTGGTTTAGGCAAAGCACAATCACTGCTGACATATTTCAGTTAGTTTGGAGCTGATAACACCAACATTTGAAATAAGTTTGTACATCTGGAGGCAGATTCATGACCTATGTAAATGGTTATAGCACTGTTGATGTTAATTGGGTTCCAGCAATTTATGCTGGTGGAGGGTAGTATCACAGTATCACAGTATGTTAGAGATTGGAAGGGACCTCAAAAGATCATCTAGTCCAATCCCCCTGCCGGAGCAGGAACACCTAGATAAGGCTACACAGGAACGTGTCCAGGCGGGTTTTGAATGTCTCCAAAGAAGGAGATTCAAAGTACTGTAATACTGTACTGTACTGTAGTACTGTAATAAAGAGTGTTTTGTATTGTTGCAATATGAATCTTGAGAAGGAGCTGGAATTAACTTTGAAGATGTAAGTAGACTTTTATTAGCGATGTGGGATTTTAAGTGAACATTTTTTTTCAAACCTTAGTTTGTAGTTAGGCATGAGATGGGATGTGCAAGTTACCTGATTTGTTACTTTGCAGGAGATGTTAAAAGTCTGGGGTCTAAGTCAAGCCCTTATTGTGCAAAAGCTTTTGTAAACGCTTATCTTTGTGTGTAATTTCACTGACACCAGTAACACTGGTTATGTGTTAGAGTCAGCATGTGTAGCCTCGAACCCTGAAAAGGGTGTAAGAAAAACTTCGTGCAGTGCTTTAAAGGTGTCTTGTCTATAAAGCAAGAAAGGATTTTGGTTTAGCTTAACTCTAAAGGTGCTTCTAAACCTTAGTGATAGGAGAATCTAGCCCAGCAGCACAGTCTGTGTTGTTGCTGAGACGTGAAGCAAGATAACTACAAGTTGCTTGAATACTGTGTTTCCTAAAGCAAAGTTTAGGATTAGAAATAGAATCATAGAATGATTTGGGTTGGAAGGAATCTTGAAGATCATCCTGTTCCAATTCCCCTGCCATAAGCAGGGACACCTTCCACTAGACCAGGTTGCTCCTAGCTCCGTCCAACCTGGCCTTGAACGCTGCCAGGGATGGGGCAGCCACAGCTTCTCTGGGTACCCTGTTCCAGTGCCCCATCACCTTCACAGTGAAGAATTATATTACTTCCTGTTGCAGATCCATGTTTATATATTCCTCGTTTTGCACACATGCTTGAGTTTGGAGATAAGAACCATGAGGTGTCCATGACGGCTCTCAGGCTGTTGCAGAGAATGAAGCGGGACTGGATGCACACCGGCCGCCGGCCCTCTGGGCTCTGCGGAGCAGGTACGTCAGACACAGAATGTATTGCTTCCCTCTCGCGGGTTGAATGGGAGAGCCTGGGGGTTGGAAACAGATGAGGACTTTCTCACTTACTTGGTGATGCTGTGTTCTCTGGAGTTCGTGCTGTCAGGCACCTACAGATTATATATGCCTTCAGTGAAATAGTTTCTGAAACTCAGACTTTATTTTTGCCCTTGCTCTTACATTACTTGCTCAGATCCTTTGTATCTTACGTTTTGGATTTTTACCCTCTTTTCTGGTGCTCTTCTCACCTCTACTCTCTAGAAGCTCTAGCTGCTAAAAGTGGGTGTTTTTTTGTCAGCTAAAATGACAACTTTAGTGCAAGCCCTTTGATTTGTGTCTTTATACAGTCTTATGCAAGAAACGTCCTCTTTGACCTGTTCTGTGAAATTATTTTCCTCTCCTTCTCCATTTTTTTCCAGGATCCATTGCTGTCACGATGCTTACTTAAAATCTACCAGTTTGGGAGGGCTAGATTAAAAGATAGTCAGTACCAGCCAGCGAGGTCGGAATAATGACGAGTGTAGACAGTCACAGAGTTCACATATAGGCTTTATTTTATTTGAAAGATCTTATGTGTGCATGCTGGAATGAGAAATAGCACTCAAACCTTAGGGAACCCAGGACTATGGCAAACTTCTTGATTTCTAGCCTCTTTTTGTTAATAGCACTTGCTTATTGCACATTACTAAACATTTTAATATAGACCATTGGTGACAGGCCTGGTCTTTGATTCGCTGGAGAGACTGTATCTACACAAGCAAGTAATTTGATTCAGTAGCTACAGATCAATAGATTGAAGCAGGTGGTGCCAAGTCCCCTACTGCATATACGCAGTTCACAATGGTGTACTGTGGACTGCATGACTGGGTTAGTTTGGTTCCCTGGCCTAAATGTCTGTGCCACACACTGTTTGAAGGGCCAGTCCTTACTTCAGCCCCTGATGTTCCCATTAAGGACTGCCGCACTTGAAACACCTACCTGTTGTGGAGCTCCGGTTTAGTTTCTTCTGAAAGGAAGCACTTTTGCATGCTTGAAAGTTCTGCCCACTGAGCCACTGCATGATGAGTGAGGGTGGTGATTCAGAACAGAGCTAATGCTCTAAATCAACACACTAACATCAGTGCAGCCAGCACTAGTTACCTAGCTGTATGGAGGGTCTTGCAGGATGGCACTTGGGCACTAGCAAGGTAGTGAACAGTGGTGACAGCGATGAGGGTAACAGCTTAAGCAGACTAAGTGTTTTGCTGGAGATCTTTCTATTCAGAAATAGTAAATTCTACTAAAAAGATGGGAACTTTCAAAATATGGGATCAGTGAAATTTTCTTGTGCTGTAATTTAAGTAGTTGACCATCGTTTCTCAAATGTTGAAGCACAGAATTTTTCAGGGAGCAATTTGCAATCAGCTTAATATTACTGAGTAGGAAGCAAAGTTTGTAAAGTCAAGTCGATCACCTGTATTCAGGGACACAGCTGAGCATAAGCATTTACAGCTTTTTAGTTGAAGGCAGGGACAAGGTGAAGTTATAGTTACCTGCCTGTTTTCTGCTTTTCCTCAGGAAATTTTCTGCTTTATGATACTGACTTTCCCTGCTTATTCTCTAGCTCTCCTAGTGGCAGCAAGGATGCATGATTTCCGACGTACTGTTAAAGAGGTCATCAGGGTGGTCAAGGTTTGTGAGTCTACATTAAGAAAAAGGTCAGTGCAGTTTTATTGCTTTTATCTTTCATTTATAGTACTGAAAAGTGTGTAGTCTGAAATGAACGTATATCAGAGAAAACCAGGTTCTTTTCCTTTTCAGAAGCACCAAGAATGTAATAAGTACAACATGGTTTTGCTGGTCATTTTTAAGTACTTATATCTGTCTCTTATGTAGGGCCTCAGATTCTTAGCAGCGATGGCAAGGAGCACTGTGTCTATTTAACAGGTGAAGAGTTGAAGGCAAAAAAAGTTGGGTCATAAATGTTAACAGCATTATCATGTCCTCGGAAGAAATAATTGATTGATTCTCAAAGCTGAGGGAGTACTGTGGGAATTTTTTCTCTTTTTTACTTCATAAAGAAGATTTTAGTTCATGAATCCAGAGTCCAGTGCTGGTAAGGCTTGTCCTTTAGCTGTTACTGAACAGAGCTTTTCCAAATATTTTGCTGAAGTATTAATTTTGATAGTTTTGCACTGCTAATAAATAGAAGACATTGCAGTGAGTTTAAGTTCACTAAAGGAGTCTGAAATGGAATTATCAGCAGAATGTGAGCCTGAAAATGGGACTTTCCCAGGTATCTTTGGCTGGGTTGTTTGTTGTCAGAGATGTAGTAGTATTTTCCATATTCTGATGAAGTAAATGGTCACCCAGGTTCACTCATTTTAGCTTTGAAAAGTTGCAACATTTCCTTTCCCCGTAATGTGAGTAAAAACCAGCATAAATGAAATACCCTGCTTTCTGTTGCCCCAGTTGGAATTTTCTGTACCACCAATATATTCTGAAGTTTGTTCCTCCAAGGCCGGTTTTTAGAAAGCTCCCTTCGTGTCTCTCTTTCTTTCCACCTCATGGAGACTAGCTTAAGCGTATCCAGCTGAGTCAGATACCTGTTAATAATACTCACTTCTTAATTGTGAGAAACATTTTTGGCCCAGATCTTCATTTTGGATCGGGAATGGTGTATTTCCCTACCATGCATGGGTGTTACAGGGAAGAATTTTAAGTGTTAGAAGCACTTCAGGGTACAACAAGTATAAGGATGAAGCAGTACAAATGCCATTTTTTCCTCTGGCCTGTAGGTCATGTGTTTCAGTGTGCAATTTGTATGATTAATGATTTATGCACCCACAATCTACTTCAAGATTCTTTGGTTAAATAGCTAGAGTTTGTTCTTACTAAAAAAATAAGCATAATAAATTAGAGTTGGAAGGAAAATTAATTTGAGCAATTGTTTCAAGCGAAGAAATCTTACTTCAAAATTCATGCTTTGAAATGTTTACTCAAATCACACATGTCAACCAAAATGACAGCGTTATTTACTTTGACAGGGTAAAAGTGACAGCTGAATTATTTTCAGGCAGCTATAATTACAACTATTTATCACGAATCTATAAATTTGATTGATGTTTTTCAAATAAGAGCACATTATATAGTATTTAACGAAGGCAAATAAAAAAAAATACCTTTGAATAACTCTTCTTGCACTCCAGGTTTTTCCTCTTCTTTCAAGAATTCCTCTCAAAATGCCATTGAGTAGAAGTGGTTTAAATTAATAAGAGCTTTTTTCACATTCTTAAAGATTTATTTGCTTCTCACTTTGATGTACAGTTTTATTTCCTTTTAATTATTACTACAGTAACTCCTGTTTGGGAAGAGCTACTTGTGCTTTGTGTGTTGTGAAGGTGTTGACTGTAGTTGGGTGAATGCTTATTAATGGATGATGTTGGATGCTGAGTTCACAGCTGATGGCTTTGCCCTGACAGCTCTTGAAGTGAAACCAAATTGGAGTCCAGATAATGTTGAAACTTCAGCCCACAGGTTCTGCAGTATGATTTGATTTAGCTCCCAGCTGGCTACATGGCTCCTGGGGAAGCACAGACCTTTGGTAACTGGACTTGGTTCTGGTGCTAATGGACTTCCATAGAAGGAATCTACAAGGCAATGGGCAGCACTGACATTATGGGCTCCTTCTGCCCTTTAGAGGCAGCCCAGCAGACTGGGGGAACGGGGCTGTGTTTATCCATGGCTTGCCTGAGGATGCAGGAGCGATGCTTTTTAAGAAAGCTCTGGCTGGCTTCCCGTTTTGGTAAGATCCTCAGCAAGGGGTGGCAGCCCATCCCAAGGAAGAGCACTATTTCTGATCCTGTGCAGTGCAGCTGTTTTGACTGTGTAAAAAGGGTTTATTTCACACTGTTGCCCATCAGCTGGAGAGTGCCAAGGCCTGCGTGGCTGTAGTCTATTGCCTCTTCCACTACTGAGTGCTAGAGGAATAGCTCTTAGGAGGAGGTTCACAAAAATGTGACATACCTTTAGGTCATAAAAATGAGTGACCTGATCATAAAAGGAATCTGTTTTGGAAGGAAAAAGAAACAAAAGCATGGCCCATGGACCCATCCTGTCACTCATCTTTAAATCAAGAGTTCTTAATTTAACCATCTGTTTGATTTTTAAAAAGTGCGTTTTTGTTTTTAATATGCTGTGGGTTTTAGTAGGATCTTGGTAAGCAGACTTCGTACTTGCTTCCCAGGGCCTTCTTGCTGTATGTTTTGAAGTACACAATTAAAATGTAAAGATTGTTGCTGTTGTTGAAAGTGAATTTATTAAATATTAATAAATGCACTGGTAGTTCTATCTCATTTTTCAGTCTAATTGAAATGAGGTTAACTTATATATCACTTTATACATTCAAAGTACTGTATAAATATTAGCTAATTAGTCAAATTGTTATTTTATGTGTCATCATCTGTGGAGATAGAAGAAATTAACTTTTAATAATCCCAACCCTATTATTTAGTTTAATCCTCACATTTGTGCCTGTGTTCAATGCACCTGTGTTCACTGCTGCCTTTTTAACCTTTACATTCTCTACCCCTTCATCTGTTTATTCACCTATTGCACACTTCTTCTGCATACTAATTATGTCTTATCTGCAGTAAGAATAATTTTTGTGATATTTGTCCATTGTGCATTATCCATGAGTGTTTGAAGATCTTAGGCACTTCTTCAATAGAAATAAAAGAAAATCAGCTTATCTTTGTTAACACTTGCATTTTAGTTCTTTGGCTTACTCTCTTTATCTTTAAATTGAGCTAATTTTTACATTAAAAAATACTTCTTTTCAGTTTCATAAAGTACTATCTGTTCAAAAACCTATTTGTGGTAAACTTCAGACGAAGTGAAGCTTCAATTAGTAGGAATTGGAATGAAAGGCCAGAATGGGTTTAAAGGGTTCATTTTTGAGGTGAATATTTTTTTTCACAGTTAAATAGCAATCTTGGCGAAGGAAGACAAGACTTGTTACATAGCAATGGCATTTACCACTTGGGTATGCTGTGGGGATCTTCATAAATGGGGTCTTTTGCTCATATCCTGGGGACTCTTTCAAAGACTGATCTGATATTTTTTCTGGAAAAATTAAAGAATCATGCAGAGATGAATGTATTACCTGAAGCTTTTCTTGTTTTCATTTCTGCAATATATAGCTCACATAAACTTCATGGCCAAGCTCCCAGTGCAGGCTCGAGCTGGGTGTGAGTGCAGGCAAAGCAAGGAGCACATCAGTACTGAATGACGGGATCAAATGTACCCCGATGAGGTTTGTCATGACACCAAACTGAGTGGGGAAGTGGATGCTTTGGAAGGGAGAGCCACCCTGTGGGAAGACCTTCTTTTGCTGGAAGAGTGGGATTACAAGAACCTGATGAAGTTCAGCAAGGACAGACGTAAGGTCTTGCACCTGGGTAAGCACAATCCAAGTGTGCAGCACAGGCTGGGGAGCAGCTCTGTGGAAAAGGACCTGGGGCTTGTGATGGATCACAGTGTGAGTGAACAGTGTTCTGCTGTTCCAGAGAAGTCAACAGAATGCTGGGTTGCATCAACAAGGCATCACCAGCAAAGGTAAAGAAGTCATTATCCTGCTCTATTCAGCAGTTGTGAGGCCACACCTGGAATACTGGGTTCAGTTTTGGTCTCTGCTGTACAAAAAAGATGTGGACAGGCTGGAGAGTGTCCAGAGAAGGGCCACAGAGATGACCAAAGGACTGGGAAGCCATATGATGAAAGGCTGAAGGAGCTGAGCTTATTCAGCCTTGAGAAAAGAAGGCTTGGGAAACCAGTATTTAAAGGGTGGCTATAAAGAAGATGGAGAATCTTTTTTTTTTTCAAGGGGTCGCATGAAAAAGACCCCAGGGGTAATGGGCATAAACTACTCCCAGGAAGATTCCCATTGGACACAAGAGGAAAATTTTTCACAATGAGAACAATCAGGCATTGGAATCATCTTCCCAGGGAGCGATGGATTCCCCAGTGTTGGACACTTTCAAGACTTGACAGGGTGCTGGGACATTTAGGTCACACTTTGTCAGGAAAAGTTGGACCAGATAATCCTTGAGGTCCCTTCCAACATGGTATTCTATGATACATGAGTCCAGAATCAGGATGGGAAGAGATGGTGACGGGGCATGTATAACTGCTAGGTGGCTGTGAGGTTGTTTTCCAAAATACGGAAGCCGTATCAACGGGAAGGGAAGGGTGTGAAGAACAAGAGCGTTCAGCTGTGATCCAAGTAAAGCTGTGCTAAAATTCTGTGAAAGGTGTATGCTGAATAAGTGAGAGCTATTTACCTGAGGTATGTGAGCATGGAGAAGTGTGGAGGATGCTCAGTATGTCAGAGCTGTAACTACTCTTGGCTGAAGTGTCATATGAGATTTTCAGAGAACTGGGAAGGTTACTTCATGTGAAGGAGTTGGTGGTGTGTCCGCTCTGATCTCAGCTTGGCAGCCTTGGAGCTCCCTTGCTGGCTGCTGTTGTGATAAACCGAGAAAGTAAATAGAGGAATATTTTACGTCTCCAGTAAAATAATTTCAAGTGGCTTAGGTGACTTCTAGAAATCTTTCTAGTTTGTTGATTGAAAACCAGCTTGATCCACGCGGGTTGGCATTGCTTACATTTGTAAGTTGGATTGTCTGGTTTAATGAAAAAGGTTTTATTTTTGAGGAAT